TATATAGCTTTTCAATAATCAGTGAGGCTAAGAATTTAATACTATGAGAACAAAACTTCTAGGATCTCAACCAGATCCTTGTGTATCCCAGGCGTCCAATGCCTTGTTTAAAATTTTTTCTCAACTTTTTGTGAACTGAGTAAAGATTTACAGAACATAATCATCAGTCCCACATTCAGCAAATTATACATCTCGTGCCATTACAATGATTGCAATCCACTCCAAATACAATCAGTTAACAGTATTTACCTCTATTCACTTCTTGTGCAATATTTGTCCTTTTGTGATTAACTAATTTCTTCACTCAGTATCATGTCCTCCAGTTTCATCCATGTTGTGAGGTGTTTTGCAGATTCACTGTTTTTCTTTAACATTGTATTATAATCCATTGCTTTACTTTACTAATGGTAATTTATGTTTTGCTTTCCTATTATTTGAAATAAGATATAACGTCTTGCCCGAGAACATGACAGCTGTCGTTTACTCTAGTTTCTGACTTTCTTTTAAAAAGTTCGTCTTTATTAATAGTGATTTTCTTGAAGGAATGAAATCAGTAATTGGAGGAAAGAAACTTATAGTAGTGTCCATTTATAAAAAAATATTTTTATTACCACCACATTTGGTAGATAATGAATTCCCTGCTATAAGAAATGAATAAGCCCGAAGACTAGACAACTATTTGGTGGGTAGTTGAAGAAGAGACTCAAGCTCTGGACATCAAAATGCACTAAATGATCTCTAAGTTCCCTTAAACTTCTTAGATTATGAACATCTGATAACGTGGTAGTTTCAAGTCAGGCTATTAACCTCAAGGTCAGCAGTTTGAAACTACCAACTGTTCTGCAGAAGAAAGATGAGGCTTTCTGCAGGAGAAAGATGAGGCTTTCTGCTCCCGTAAAGATTTATAGCATCGGAAACCCTATACAAGGTCACTATGAGTTAAAATCAACTCCACAGCACATAACCACCACACCACCACCAAGAAAGGAAGAGGAAGTAGGAGGATTTTTAAAAGGGAGGGGTGAAAAGAGAGATAAGGGAAGAGATTGAGACGACAGGCACACATTTCTTGAACTAATCTTTTGATCACTTGTTTCTTAAATCCTTGAGCATCATCCAAGTATGATGGGTCCACAGGGGCTAGAAAGAGCAGTGGTGACTATGACCTCACAGTGACCCCTCATAGCTCACACATACACATACATTCTAACCAAACTGACCTCTACGCACTGGTTTTAAAGAGCAACAATCCTCATTTCTATTGCAAACTTGCAGTTACTCATGACTGACAAAATGCATGAATTTATCTTTATACCTCCCCAAAACCTCATTACAAATCACAATAATAAAGATTAAAAAAAAAACACACAAAAATAAAACACTTCAGTACCAGCAAAGATCTCTCCAACCTCTGCTAAAGGTTTTCCAAAGACTAAGGAATAGCGAAGACTCTAGTATTGCTATTACCAAGCGCTCCTCTGTGTTGCAGTAAAAGCCAGAGGTTAACACTGGAGGCTTTGAACCAGAGAAGCCTAGACTTGGGGCCCTGGACTCAGCTGGGGTGAGGTAGGAACTATATAGAATACAGGGGGATTAAGTTGAAGCATGGTAACACTACCAAAACCCTTCATGAGGTCGACTCCCAGAATGCTGACTGCCTCAGTTAGCCTACTCTAAGAGCCCTGGTAACACAGTAGTTAATCATCAAGCTAAACAAAAGGCTGGCAGCTTTGTGGGAGAAAAGACATGATGATCTGCTCCTGCAAAGACTGGGGGGTGGGGGTGGGTCACCATATCGGTTCCAACTCACAGTGACCCTGGATAGGGTTTCCGAGGCTGCTAATCTTTAGGAGAGCAGAAAGCCTCATCTTTCTCTTGCGGACTGACTGGTGGTAGATTCAAACTGTTGACTGCAGTTAGTAGCCCAGTTTATAACCCACTATGATATCAGCACTCCTTCCTGTAAAAGATTGTTGTTAAGTGCCCTTGAGTCAGTTCTGACTCACAGCAATCCAGTAGAGGGTTTTTGAGGAGTGGCTGGTGAGTTTGAACCAACCTTGCAGTCCAAACTGACCTTGTGATCCAGTGCTTATCTTACAGCACCACACAACTGTAAAGATTGTTACTCTTTTTGTTAAGTGCAGTCAAGTTGGTTCTGACTCATAGTGACCTTGGTGGCATTGAAGTGCCCACTTCATGGTTTGCAGTCCAGTGCTGATCCTACACAGCCTAGGAAATCCTATGGGGGCAGTTCTACTCTGTCACACAAGGTTGCTATGAGTTGAAATAGACAATACCTAACAACTGTAGGTAAAATGACCAGCTCAAAAGTAAAAGACCTAGGATCCTGCACGAGTTCCCCTGTGTAACTACTCTACAATAAAGTGTAGTCACGGAATCAAAGGATGGAGATATTTGAGGAAAACCCTTAGCACAAAACACCAAGGCCAACACAAACAGGAAAAAGCACAGAGAAAGCAAAGAATCACCAGGGAGTAGAAGGATTATAGCTTCAGAAAATCAAATTAAGCGTCTATAATAAAAGAGAAAGATTTTTTTTTAAAAGCCTCAGAACAAGAAATACTTAGAATTTTATAAAATCAGTAGAAGAGTGGGAAGTGATGAGGTCCAACTTCTGACTAATACAAATTCCAGAAAGAGAACAAAGAAAACACGAAGGGAGGAAATTACCAAGTAAATAATATGTTGTTGTTGGTTGTTAAGTGTTGTCAAGTTGATGGATTTGAAAGTGCTGACCTTGCTGTTAGCAGTCCAGTGCCACACCATGACCCTGAATATGAGGGGGCTTGAGAAGATTTGTGGACAAATGGAATTAAAAGAGAATGGGATTTCTCCACAAACTATTGGAATCCCTCTCATATGAAAAAATTTCTGTATAACCAAAGAGATATGCACAGTGGCCTGGGCTTTCTGCACCTGCAGCTATTCCAGAGGAGAGTCATTGGTTAAGGTTTTGGCACAATTCTTCACAGAGTGAAGAAACATGCATACACAAAAAAGAATTCCCTAATTATGTGGCCCAAACCATCCGTTGACACAAATGCATATGAAAACTAGACAAGGAATAAATAAGACTGGAGTAGAATCGAGGCCTTTGAATTATGGTGCTAGTGAAGAATATTCAAAGTAGCAAGGACTGCCAGAAGAACAAATATAAATACACCTATCTGTCTTAGAGGAAATAGGGCCAGAAGGCTCCTTAGAAGCCAAGACGGTAAGAGTTATTGACACATGGCATGTGAGAATGGCACGGCAGCAGGCAGTGTGTCTTCCGGCACAGGCTTGCTATGAGTCTGAACAGATTTCATGGCACCTAACAGCAACTGTAACTGTGTGGGCTCGACTGGGTCGGAGGAATTCTTCTATTGCCAAGCATTTGAATGCCACTCAAAGAGCAAAAGGTTGTCAGCAAGTGCTATGAACCCCAGTGGATCTTATGCAGGCCTCTGTCAGGCAGCAGGTGACCAAACCTCAAAGGAAATCGCTGTATTCCTCCATGTTGTAACCTTTTCCCAGCCTTTTGTCAGGATGAAAGGCTCAGGCATCTTACTTATATTGTCAGAGCCCTGGACACTAAATCTACAACTTCCTGAGAGGAATCAGGGATTGTATCCAAGATCCTGCCACTTCATTGTCAAATGCAGCTGAATGAATAACCAAAACATCTGCTTCAACAGGAACGAATTCAGCACACCACTGAACCAGTGAGTCATCCAGGAAGAGTGTCATCCTGGTGACAAGAGCAGGTCCCTGCTGGGCTCATGGGACGGGAAGTGCTGTGGGGCCCAGTGCCCACCAAGACAGCATGGTCAGTCAGGCAACAACAGTGCAGTGGGGGGTCCTGGACGCAAGTGGGCCAGGCTGCTGCAAAACCATGCCTTTGCTGAACACCCAAGTTTCACACCAACTCACCCAAGGGCAAGAAGGGAGACATGGATGGCAGTTCTTAGGAAACCGCTTTCTGCCTTATTTAGCCTGGAGGGTAGTGGTGGGGAGAGAGGTGGGAGGAGGGGAGTCCTGGGACTCAAATGGCACTTAGTTAAATGCCATCCAGTTGATTCCAACTCTTAGCAACCCGGAATAAGTTTTCTGAGGAAGAGCAGTTGGGTTTGAACTTCTGACCTTATGGTTACCAGTCCAGTGCTTACCCTACAGTGCCACACCAGGACTCCAAACATACGCTTCCCTGACTAGAAACTGAACGTGGGCTGTGGCAATGTGAGCCCTGAATCTTAACCACTAGCCCCACAGGGAGGGAGAAGCGGAAGCTGAGTGACCTGTGAGTATTGTGACCTTGGCCCTGACCTCCCCACACTGACATCAAGGGTGCATCCTCTAGGCTTGAAGAGAGGAGTGACTGAGATGTCCCAAGTCAAAGCTCTTTACACCTGGGCCTAACACACAGAATGTGCATCTCGGGGAAGCATCTCTAAACGAAGCAGGAGTGGTGGGTCTCCAGGCTCCCATGGTGGAACCTTCTTTCCAGGATCCCTGCCAAGGCCCCCCCAAAAAAGGCAAAAATGCCAAACTGAAAATAGCTCAAAACCACCTTATAGAGTATAGTCTGCTTCTGCCTGTGCTATTGCTGTCTTCTGGGTGTAATGTGCCTGGTATTCCTGGACCAGCCCAACCTGCTCCTCCCCAGGTCACCTCCAATTCTGTAGCCCAGCACCAACCCGCTTTCCCCTGAGCCAGACACCACTGCAGCTACTCAGTTACTCATCTGGCATTCAGCATGGACCTCCGTATTTGTCTCTGAGGATGTGTCACGACCTCAGCTAAACTGCAAATTCAAGAGCACAGACTGTTTTCTTCTTTCTAGTTTCCATGTTGTATGTACCTTACCCAGAGGAGACATGAACACAATGTTCCTAGAACTACAGGACTGTGTTCTCAGAGAACTGCCCCAGCAAGACGTCACCTACTGTTCACTCTTCATCCAGTGGAGAGCCCCAGTGCTCCCCGGGCCTCCCACTTACCTCATCCAGCTGCCGCTTTGTCTCTTCTTCCATCCTTCGAATGTCGTCCATAGTCAGGTCAACCCACTTATCAAGCCAACAGAACAGCTGCCTGTGGAAGTTTGTAAACAGACGCTTCTCTTGCTATAAAAAAAAGGAGGAAACCAAGTGATCTCTGTTCGGATACCCACACTTTACTGGGGAGGTAGGGAGGAAGTGGTGCCTGACCGGCTTATGTGGACCAACCCAAGGCCAAGTCAGTGAATATTTTTTCCCCTTTGTGTCTGACAGTTGTGGCTTCAAGTAGGGGGAAGCCCCCAAAGACGGGGCTTGAAATACTAACAAGAAAGGTAGTTCATGAGCTGAAAGCCAAGCCAGGGACCCTGAACAATTCTGCTAAGTTTCCTCCTGGTCTCTGAGCCAGGTTAAAGCTGGCCAGCAGCTAGGGAACATGGCCCAAGAGGAAGGATCTAATACACCAGAGAATTACAAGGCTCCTTTACTCTGCTCACTTGCATTATTTTGGACACTGAAACTTTCAGTTTTAAGAAAAGAGTGTGGCTTTTATTTGGAGTTCAATCATAGCAAACCCCTTCCTGTTCTTTTTCCTCAGTTTCCTTCCCTGTCACATGCGATATCCCTCAAGAGAAAGAATTAAATAACATAGCTTCAAGTACAAGTAAGCTGGGGAACCAAACGAATTTAGGATGCAGGTCACCTAGATCTGAGGTACTAGTATGGTCCACTGATGGGCAATACCCCACTCCCACCTCCCTACTGGGAAGGCTGGCCACTTACCTTATGTATAAAGTTTTCCACCTTGTTCTGCAGGCCCCACCACTTGAACTTGACAGTAACCAGTTTGTATGCACACATGTATGGGCAGTCTTTCTGATTTACAAGTTCTTGCTGCATCAGAAACATACCCATAGGCAGGCAGGTAACTAAGGGGGCAGACCTCAGGTTCTCCCTTAGCCCAGCCCCAGCTATTCCTTTCCTCCAACCACACCCTGCTACGCCCCCTGGTGGTGAGGGTATTAAAGGCACCTTCCAGTTGGTGCCCAGAGGTCCTCGTCCTGTTTTGATAGATTTAAATTTTGCTGGGTCTTCCTCAGCCTTGTAATCCTGAAAGAGATGATGGAATTGGGATGGGATTAGGATAGAGAGGTGTAGAAAGGAAAAGAGAGAAGGGGAGGAAGGAAGAGATCAGATATTTCACCACAGTACACATCATACCAGTTCTAAGGATTTGGTCTATAGCAAATATGAGACAAACTTATACACAAGGCATAGATAGATTTCTATTTGACTCTGCCAGGATAGGCACAAGCTTGAGACAGGGATTTTCAACCTAGGGTGAGCATCCAGGGTGGTCCAGCTGACTGACAGCCAGTGAGTAGGACTACCTGCATGTGAGCCAGAGCTGAGAGTAACTGAACTATCAGTCCTGAAATCTTCTAGTCTGGCGTCTCTCTGGCTTGTTTTACAAACTCATAAACTCATCACTCTTAAGATATATTCACTTTGCTGTATATATATCATACTTCAACAGAAAGTTTTTATGTTTTTTAAAATCCACTAACCTTTTGGGGGACAGGGAGATATTAGGCAAGGAAATGTAAGATGGTTTCCTTTTTGGAAATGCACAAATTAGAATGTTTTAGGCATACAGAGACTATAGGAAAGAGGTATCACACTCCTGGGATAAGAAGTTGTTTGTTGTTAAGTGTTGTTAAGTCAGTTCTGACACATAGCGACCCTGTACAGTGTTTCCAAGAAGTGGCTGGTGAGTTTGAACTGCAGACCTTGTGGTTCAAATTAACCACGCAGTTCACTGCTTTATCCCACAGCACCACCCTGGGGTAAGAAGAGCCAACACTTATTCCCTATCGATGAGCCAAGAGCCAAATTCCTGTCCCCTATGTGGTGCTGTGGATCAGCACTGGACTGGGAAGTACAAGGTTGGCAGTTCAAGCCCACCAGCTGCTCCTCAGAAACCCTATACAGGGTCACCATGAGTCAGAACCAACTTGACAGCACTCACCAACAATAACCACTTCACAGGAGTCCTGATGAGGTGCTGTAGGGTAAGCACAGGTCTGCTAATCACAAAGCTGGTGATTCAAATCTACCAGTCACTCTTTGGAAACCCTAAACAGGATAACTGAGTTGGAACCAACTTGACTGCACTAAACAACAATCATTTAACAAGTTGTGTGGTGCTGTAGGATAAGCATTAGACTGCTAACTACGAGGTCAGTATTTCAAATCCAGCAGCCACTCCTCAGAAACCCTTTACAGGGTCACTATGAGCTGGAATTGACCCAACAGCACTTAAAAATAATCACTTAACAAGAACAACACCCCCAAAAACCTATCAAATAAGACTAGTAATATTATTGTTGTTGTTATGTGCCATGGAGCCAGTTCCGACTCATAGCGACTTTAGCTGCTATCAAATCGGTTCCAACTCATAGCAACCCTGTATAAGGTTTCTGAGGAGCGGCTGGTAGGTTTGAACCACCAGTCTTGCAGTTCAAACCAACTTGGTGGTCCAATGCTTATCATACAGCACCACACCAGGACTCCCAGAATAGTACTAGATGAAGGGAAACCTAATTTATTCATGGCAACCCAACATCGAGCAAGACCTACAGGCTTACGGTCCTTTTCTTGGCACCTGCTGCATTACTGAAGTCATCACCAACTGTTTGAGGGCAGAGAGATGGTCTTTCATACATTTTCTATCCATCACCTGGAACCTCAGAACTAAGTAGAGTATTTCAACAGAGTTGTTGTTCTGACCCATAGAGACCTTGTATAGGGTTTTCAAGGAGCAGCTGGTGAGACTGAACCACCAAGCTTGCAATTCAAACGGCTTTGCAGTCTGGCACATTAACCCACAGCGCCACAGCACAGCAGGCAGCCAACAAATGCTTTTTGTGTTGCTTTTTCTAAAATGACTGGGTTAAAAAAATTTGGAGAGCCCTGAGCTCTGATTGTCCAGTTAATTATCACTTCAGTAAGCCAACACATCCCCAGGACTACCTGTGACTTCTATAATGTCCAGTCATCGTTTCCAGAGGCCAAACAGGACACATAAATTCGGGCTACTGTTTTCCTGCTGTACTCGAGTCAAGGTCCCTGGTTGGCGCAGTTTGCTCTTGGCTAGTAACCAAAAGGTTAGGTGGTTCAAACCCACCCAGTCTTCCATGGAAGAAAGGCCGGGCGATTTGCTTCTGTCAAGAGGACAGCCAGGAAAACTATGGAGTAGTCCTACTCTGGAACATGTGGAATAATCGTAAGTCAAAATCAACTCAATGGCCATGAGCTTTGTTTTGTTTTTAATCCCTAAGTCAAGACAAGGAAACTATGAAAACCAATGCTAAAAAATAAACAAAATATTACACACCAGAGAGAATGGCTGTTTGAGTCATGGTTCTTTGGTTTCTCTAACACTTAGAAGTCATTTCTGCATCTCAACACCACCACACACCTTCAAATAGTTCCTACCTTGCTAAGGACTTGGCTTCGATCTGCAATGTCTATATATATTACTTCCACATGTTTCCACGTCTCAGGTTCTAGTTTATGCACCTGCAGGAAGAAAAAGGTGGGCCACTACATGGTTTTTGTCAGCTGCAAAGCACCCCTTACCCCAAACGAACACCTAGGAATGCCTATTTACATAGCCATCAATGTGAGTTTCCCACTGGTAAAGAATTTTACCTGAAGGAATGAAAGAATGATTTTTTTTTTTTTTTTTTTAGCATTGTGATAAATATATGCGGGTGCTTCAAAAAATTTATGGAATTTTCCCATGTACTTTCGGAATCCCCCCCGTATGTGTAACAAAACATTTGGCAGTTCAGCATTCTTCATATTTACAATTCAGTGACATAATTATCTTCATCATGGTATGCACCCATCACCGATATCTGTTCCCAAGTTCTCCATCATCTTTAACAGAAGCTCCGTGATCGCTATATAATAATTGGGAGAGTGGAAGTTTAAGTGAAAACTAAGACTCTGGCTTATCCGTTGAAGTACTACTTCAGAAGACCCAAATGCCCTCAGTTATTTGGCACAACACTTGCATTGCTTCCCTATGTTGCCCCTTATAAAGACGGTAACACTGGTGGAGAGATGGCCTACATAGTAAGATACTGCTTATTTTGATACTTCTTAAAATCTGATTCAAATAGGTTATAAGACAGTGTTCATGGTATAAAATTAAGATAGACATGCCAAGGGACACGCAGTGAAAAGTAACTCTTCCTCTTGTTGCTTTCAGCATCTTCCCAAGTAACAGTCACTGTCATCAGATTCTATGAACATAGCAACATCCAAGTGCCTGAGTATACGTATGGAATCTCCTTATACTTTATTTCACATATGGAAGCACATAAGTGCATGAACTCCTAGGTGTGGAATTGCTAAGGTGAGTTACTGGCAAACTGGGATTCATAGAAGATGTAATGTTGATGTTTGAAAAATACACTTCCTCTGTAGCTGGAGCTGCCTTTTAGCTCAATCCCAGTGTTCTGAGGAGGCCCTGCAAGGAGCCATGAAGGTCACAATTTGCAGACCTGAGAGGCACAGCAGCTCCATGCTGGCAGCACAGGTCTGGGAGAGGGAAGAGGGGACCATGGAGAGGACCTCACATCAGGGATGGAGAAACTACCCAGGGGTTCAGAGCACAGCCTCAAGACCCTACCCTGCAGTCTGGAAGCCCCTGGGGTTCTTGGGAAGGGCTACTTACATTCTCCAGGGTGCCAAGATCTGGTTTGTGCCAAGTTTCAATTTTAATCAAAAAGTCTTCTTTCATGTACTCATTCTGGAAGAGGGAAAAAACCCTTACAGTTACCAACTTGCAGTGGGAGAGCAATTATCTTCCATTACTGGTTCAGGGGCAACTGGGAGACTCCACTGTCTGTCTTATAGTAACAGCTGACCTAACTGGGCATGCATTATCTCATTTAATCCTTATCCCAGCCTATTAAAGGGTTAGGTGACCTATTGGGAGGCCACAGAGATGATTAAACACAGAGCTGACCCTCAATACAAGTCTGTCTGACTTCAAAATTCAGGAATGCAACCACACTGCCTACAGCCTTATGCATAAGGTGAGTAATGGTGGTGGTGATGTGTCCTGCAGTTAGTTCCGACTCATAGTGACGCTGTACAGGGTTTCCGAGGCTGTAAATCTTGACAGGAGCAGAAAGCCTCATTTTTCTCCCATGGAACAGCTGGTAGTTTTGAACTGCTGACATTGAGGTGAGCAGCCTGACTCCTAACCACTACACTACCAGAGCTCCTCTATGCATAAGATGCTAGTGGTTAATTAGGAGTGTAGGAAGAATACAGGGAAGACTTCCTAAACAATCAAAAATGCGCGTTAATGTATTAACACCTCAGCAGGAACAAAGAACCCAGAAACTGTCTACATTTCTGAGCAGGGATAAGGCACCAGGATGATGAGTGAGAGAAAGGGTAATATCTGAAGGGCTGCTCACAGAAATCTTGAATTTATAAATCAAGAGTCAGTGTTGACTGGGATCAAAAGATGCCCCAGGGGGGATTATTGTTGTTAGGTGCCTTGAGGTGGTTCTGAGTCATAGCGACCCTGTATAGGGTTTCCTAGAAGCGACTGGTTGGTTTGAACCACCGGCCTTGTAGTTCAGTTCTTATCCTACAGCATAACACCAAGACTCCAGGAAGCCACAGTCGGGTCAGATGAACTGAAATTCCTGTATAACCCTGGGAAGGCAGGATTGGGGGGAAGTGTCCCAGGCCCTTCTGTATACCTGAGACATTGGATTCCTTGCTGTTACACCTTAGAAAGCTAAATGTTAATGAATGCTGATGAGCCCATTCCTCATTAGGACGGAAAGAAGGAAGCCTTAACAACTCAGACCTTCTCCCAAGACAAAGAACAGGAATACTTATGAGTCCCCACTGCAGCTCCATTTTTTGTTTTCTTACAAATCATCTACAATTCCAACCCCCTGAAGATACTTACTGTAATAACTGCTCCGAGGCAAAGACATGAAAAGAAAAGTGAAAAAGATTAATGAGGATCTAAGAACTCTCTGCCCCCATCCCTCCAGTGCCCAGGAATAACAGTGTTCCAGTCACCCCAGGACCCAATGAGGCAGGAACACGTCAATTCACCAACCCTCAAGTTTCACTCAGACAAAAGCCCCACAGACTCAAGTCTGGGATTTGATTAAAGTGCTGCCACTGCCTGCTCCTCTGGCTTTTTTCCAGCCGAGCCAGGAAAGGGACCGCTCTGATCAGGGGAAGTGCTGTGATCCATCACTAGGTCCCCATGGACACAGTGAGGCACTTCAGGCCAGGTGCTATCGGCCTTCTGCATCCTTCCTCACACTGTAACCAAACCTCTCACCCTCTGCACTGCTGCTCATTGTAATGAGACCCCCTCGGAAAACATACTTCAATTATTCATCAGAGAAAATGACAGCAGCTCTTATATCACTGGGGAATGCACAACAGCCCAGCTCATGCTGTGCCCTCTGAATTTACGATTTTTGATAAATCACACACTACCATGTTTGGACAGAACACAGGGCTAACAGTCAAACTCCAGTGTCTGTCTATAAGAATGACCCAAAAGAATGTCAGGAATTTCCCTCAGATTTAAAGAAACACACATGTGTAAGACATCAACCAATAAAGAATGTACCTGAAAGACTTCTAAGTAACTGCCCTGGTCTCACCTTGAAGAGTATCATGTCAGCAAAAAATAAAATGATGGGTATGTTCTTCGTAAGTGCTGTTGAGTGAGTACCTTGTATAGGGTTTTGAGGAGCAGCTGGTAAGCTTGAACCGCTTACTTTGAGGTTCAAACTGACTTTGTTGTTGTTAGGTGCTGGAGAATTAGTTCCAACTCATAGTGATCCCAAGCACAACAGAATTAAACACTGCCTAGTCCTGGGCCAGCCTCACTACCGCTATGTTTGAGCCCACTGATGCTGCAGCTGTGTTAATTCATCTCTCATTGAAGGTCTTCATCTTTTTTGATAACCTCTACTTTACTAAAAGGAGCTCTGGTAGCATAGTGGTTAAGAATTGGGCTACGAACCTTAAGGTCAGCAGTTCGAAACTACCAGCGGCTCCCATAAAGATTTACAGCCTTGGAAATCCTGTACAGGGTCGCTATGGGGCGGAACCGACTCGACGGCACATAACAACAATAACAACAACAACTACTTTACTAAAAGGAGCTCTAGTAGCGTAGTGGTTACAAAGCAGGCTGTGAACTGCAAGGTCAGCAGTTTGAAACTACCAGCTGTTCCATGAGAGAAAAATGACGTTTTCTGCTCCTGTAAAGATTTACAGCCTCGGAAACCCTGTACAGGGTCACTATGAGTCGGAACCAACTCCACGGCACATAACAGCAGCAGCACTTTACTAAGACGTCCTTCTCCAGTGACTGGTCCTTCATGATATGCTCAAAGTATCAGAAACAAAGCTTCACATCCTCTCTTCTAAGAAGCATTCTGGCAATGCTTCTTCCAAGACAGGTTTGTAGCTCTTCTGGCAGTCCGTGATATTTATATGCATCAACTCTTTTCCAGTCTTCCTTATTCTTTGTCTAGCTTTCATATGCATATGCATCAACTGAAAATACCCTAGTTTGGGATACAAAGTTAAGTTCCCCCCTCCCCCCCTTTATTAAGGTTTCGTTTCTTCATTCTGTGAAGAATGGTGCCAAAAGCTTAGGTGATTTGTCCTTTGGAATAGCTGCAAATGCAATAAACGCTCTTTGGAACTGGAATTTTAAAAACTAATCTGCAGTGGAAGAGAAAGCCAAACCACTAGACCCATGCCATTGTGTGACCAATCCACATCATCAATAAAACACAGGTAAACATCTTTCTAGTATTTTCTGCTTTAAGACAAGATCCATCTGACATCAGTAATGGAATCCTTCATTCCATATCCTCTTCTAAATCTTATTTGTATTCCTGGCAATTCCCTGTAGATGTACTGCTACAACTGGTTTTTAATTGTCTTCAGCAAAACTTTACTCATCTGTGATATCTAATACAGATAATTTCTAATTTCAGTTGGGTCACCATTCTTTGGACTGAGCACAAATATGGAACTCTTTCAGTTGGTTGGCCAGGTAGCTGTTTTCCATTTGTTAGAACAAACTGGCATTCTGTCAATTCCTGGAATCTTGTTTGTCACCAATGCCTTCAATGCAGCTTGGACTTTTTCCTTCAATGCTATCAGTTTGTGATAACATGCTTTGTACACCTCCTGTAGTGGCTGAATGTTGACCAATTCTTTCTGGTAAAGGGACTCTGTGTATTTCTTCGATCTTCTTTGATGAAGCCGTGCAATATCTTGCCCATAGAATCCTTCAATACTGCAACTCAAGGTTGATGTTTTTCTTCAGTTCTTTCAGCCTGAGAAATGTTGAGTATGTTCTTCCCTTTTGATTTTCTAACTTGAGATGTTTGCACAGTTCACTCTAATACTTGACTCTGTCTTCTTGAGCCACTTTTTGAAACCTGTTCAGTTCTTTGAATTCCATTTCTTCATTCACTCTTAGCTACTCTATATTCAAGAGCAAATTTCAGTCTCTTCTGGCATCCATTTTTGCTTTTGTTTCTTTTCTATCTTCTTAATGACCTTTTGCTTTCTTTATGTGTGGTGTCCTTGATGCCATCTCATAATATCCATCAAGGGAAGTTCAAAGAGGCCAATTTAGCAGAAATTCTTTGGGTATTTGGCTAGCTTGGTTTGATGACATTCCAGGAGGTTCAGATGCTAATGAAAGGTGGAGGTTCGTGTCCATCCACAGATGCCTCAGAAGAAAACCTGATGATCTTCCAAAATCTCAGAAAATCCAAGTTCTACTATGACACACATGGAGTTGCCAAGAATTGATGTAGACTTGATGGCAATTGGGGTGTGGTTTTTAAGGCTCTCCAACTGACCACTTATTCTGATTTCATATTCTTTAAGCAATAGGATCTTTCTAGTTTGATTCACTTACATGTTTTACTGTTAAGTTAACATATGGACGTTCTGATAATAACTTTGATTCCATGTAGAAAAGGCTACAAGGAAAGAATGTTTTAATCAGCAAACAGAAATATATGGTTTTATTAGTACCTTTTTATCTCTAATTTCATAGACTGGCATTTTAGAGTTTTATATTAGTGTTTTCTAGATTCCAAAAAACAGATCCATTCAGTTCTGACAAATTAGGTTTTTGAACCTGTAAGGGTGATTACCCTCCTCTATCCTTTAAAAACTTCCCCCAAACCTTCCTACTCCTCCAATCACTTCTGAATTCACAGAATTCCCTTTTCTACAGACTGTAGCCTTAGGTAAATTGGTAAAGTCTCAAAAAGTTCCCTACGGAAGGAAAATAAGGGCTGTCCAAGTAAACTGATGAATTGATGCCTTTGAGTTATGGTGTTGGAGGAGAATATTGAAAGTGCCATGGGCTGCCCAAAGAACCAATAGATCTGTTTTGGAAGAAGTGCAGCCAGAGTGCTCCTTGGAGGCCAAGATGGCCAAACTTTGTCTCTCATACTTTGGACATATTGTCAGGAGGGAGCAGTCGCTGGAGAAGGATATCATATTTGATAAGGTAGAGAGAGGCTCAGAGAAAAAGAGGAAGGCCCCCAATGAGATGGATTGGCCAAGTGGCAGCATCGATGGACTCAAGTGTGGCAACAATAGTGAGGTTGGCCCAGGATCGGGCAGTGTTTCGTTCTGTTGTGCATAAGGTTGCTATGGGTCGGTACCAACTTGATGGCACCTAACAACAGCAACAAGTAAACTGATTATAAGTTACTTTAGTATACGTGTCACAGAAGGGAGCACAATTATAAAGTACTTTGAAGCCACTGCTTTGCAATACTGTTTTCAGCCAAGGGTTAAGGTTAGAAAGAGAGGTAGAAGAAAAAGGGACAGAATCATTTTTTCTCTACTTTTATTTATGGATCAACCCTCATCTCACCACCTCCTCATGTCCTAACCCATCAACTTCAAGGGAAAAGAAACAAAGAAAGAAAGAAAGGGGACAGAAAGCTAACAATGAAATGTTGTGAAGTAGTGTCCAGTCAGTTTCTAACACAGAGCAACTGTGTTTAGAATTTCCAAGTGGTTGTTGGGTTTGAGCCACTGACCTTGAAATTAGCAGTCCAGTGCTTACCCTACAGCATCACATCAGGACTTTAAAAGGGAAGGTAGCAGTAGTGATGGCGGTGGTGGTTGTGTGCTGTAGAGTCGGTTCTGACTCATAGCAACCCTGTATAGGGCTTCCAAGACTGTAAATTTTCATAGGATCAGAAAGCCTCATCTTTCTCCTGCGGAACCACTGATAGTTTCAACTGCTGAACGTGAGATTAGCAGCCTGACTTACAGGAACAGAAAACCCTGATCTTTCTCCTGCTGAACGACAGGTAGATTCAAACTACTGACTTTGTGGTAGTAGCCCAGCTTGTAATTCACTATGTTACCAGGGCTCCTTCAAAGGAAGGGTTGTTGTTGTTGTCGTTGTTAAGCGCTATCAAGTCAGTTCTGACTCACAGTGACCCTGTATAGTTCTGAGGAAACAACTGGTGGTTGAAACACTAACCTTAGGGTTAGCAGTCTAGTGCTTATCCATCCTAAGTCCCACACCAGGACTCTACTGCATCCTTTTTTGGAATAAGTGAGCCTCCCAGCTGAACCCTCCCTGATCTTGCCCTATGTATTGTTTCATTTGCATCGTTTTTCGTTTATTTGTGATAAATAGGGTACTCCAAATCCATTTTCATTCTACTTACAATAAGGTTGTTGTTTTAAGTGCTCATAGTGCTTTAGTGACCCTGTATAGGGTTACCAAGGAGCAGCAGGTGGGTCTGAGCAGCCAACCTTGTGGTTAGTAGTCCAGTGCTTATCCAACAATGCCACACCAGGACTCCACAGTTAGGTGGTTATTGTTGTTAAGTGTCGTTGACTCATAGTGTATAGGGTTTCCGAGGAGATCAGTTTAGAAGCTTCCAAAAGGTCTGGGGAATTTCATTTCATGCTGCTTAACCTATCTCACCAAAACCTTTTCTCTCCTTGGGTCAAAGATGCTTGAACTAATCATCTATCTTCCATCAGCCTTCCTTACCTGCTTATGAGGGGACTTTGAAAATAATTTTTCTTAGGAAAATTACATTATCTTTCAGCTCCATATTTCTACAAACTTTCTGAAGTCCCCTTATATGTCTTAATTTAAAGAGCAATTGTCTAATTGAAAAAAATCTAAACTTCCACATATTAATTCAGATGAAGCTGGAGTCTGATAGTGAGTTCAGCACACGCTTAACAAAATCAACCTTCCTTTTCCTTATTCCACGCTCTTCATTTCATGGAGTATTTAGAAATTACATCTTCCTTTTGGTCAAGAACCTGGACAATATGCAAACTAACATTGGCTGCCCATTTCAGCTGCAGCATGTTCTCCCCAGAATTCTAGAGGACAGGGCATCTGTCAATTGGCACAAGGTGTATACCTAGAACCCTGTCCCATGCATCACTTGCTTCCTTTATAACAAGTTGGCTAAGGTTCTTACAATGCACACTTAGTACAACCCTTTTTGTTGTTGTTGTTAGGTGCCATTGAGTTGGTACCGATCCACAGCGACCTTATGTACAGCAGAACAAAACACTACCCAATCCTGGGCCAACCTCACTACTGTTGCCACACTTGAGTCCATCGATGCTGCCACTTGGCCAATCCATCTCGTTGGAGGCCTTCCTCTTTTTCTCTGACCCTCCACCTTACCAAACATGATATCCTTCTCCAACTGGTCCCTCCTGACAATATGTCCGAAGTATGAGAGACGAAGTTTGGCCATCTTGGCCTCCAAGGAGCACTCTGGCTGCACTTCTTCCAAAACATATCTATTGGTTCTTTTGATAACCCATAGCACTTTCAATATTCTCCTCCAACACCGTAACTCAAAAGCATCAATTCTTCTACAACCCTCTTTTTTTGTTGTTGTTATGTGCCGTGGAGTTGGTTCTGACTCATAGCGACCGTGTACAGGGTTTCCAAGGCCGTAAATCTTTATGGGAGCAGAAAGCTTCATCCCGATTCATAACCACTACACTACACCAGAGCTCTTAGACATCAAGTAAATTCACCTTTGGCCTTAGACCAGACACACCCAGTCACATGGCATAGTATCTTGTAAGAAAATGTTTGCATGCCTTGTTTTCAAGAATTTAACAACTTTCTGCCTGATGCTTAGGCAGTAGTAATGTTTGCAATTAACTATATAGCAGCAACACTCTTAAATGTTATTCATTCCTTCCCCAGGACCTACCAATGATTCTGCATCACCTAGTTCAAGGATCTTGAACCTGTGTAGGAACGAGGAATAGAAAGAGCAATAATCTTGTGTTCTGGAGATTCCTAAAGCTCACAGAATACAGATCACATGGTTGGAGCCTGCTCATCAGATACAATCTGGTGAGTGCCAAGCCAAACAGAAAAAAACTAAACCCATTCCAACTAATAGCAACCCTGTAGGACACAACACAACTGCCCCATACGTTTTCCAAGGTTTTAAATCTTTACAGAAGCAGACTACCACATCTTTCTCCTATGGATTAGCTAGTGTGTTTGAACCATCGACCTTTTAGTTAGCAGCCGGGCACTTAAAACCACTGTACCACCAGGGCTCAGAGAGAGTGCCAGACCCCAATAAATAAAACAACTGAAGTAGTATAGGTAAGCAGAAAGACCCCATAGCCGGAGTATGCCAATGAATCTCTGGAGGTTGGTGGTGGGCAACCACCCTCCTCATGGACAAGTTCCAGGGAACTAGTAAGGGGCATCTCTCAGTTGGCACAAGGTGTGTACTACCCACAACCCTGTCCCAGTACCAGCTTGGGCCTTCAAAGAGGTTTACTACTAGAAGACCTTTGAGATCTAAGAATCTTGGGAGAGCTAGGAGTCTGAAATTAACTCAAAGGGAATCTGAGAATGTTTCTATGGAAGCTCAAGTTCTTCCTTTCCTTGCTAGATCTGCAGTTAGGAAACTGGCCCAGATTAAGAAACCATCACACACCCTCTACCCACCCACCCCCAACTGTAGAACATGCTGGTTCCCTGCGAGCCTGAGTCCAGGGCTCTTAGCAGTGGCCTTCGTCCTAAAGAGCAGGCATCTTCCTAGGTGTATGACCTATTCTGGGGATATCTGACACTGTCAGTGTTAACAAATTGGGCTCATTTCAACGTTTCCCCAACAACAGCAGCTTTCCATTGCTACCTCTTCTTGGTGCCTGGGCCTAGCTCTGTCCCCAAGGAGGACGGATACCTACCCTTCAGACCTTTTCCTCTGATTGCCTGTCTCAGAGTCCCTGGGCCTCCAAGTTGCTTTTCAAGCCAAACACAAATATATCACATTAAACAGGACATTTCAATATTTAACTATGGGAGACTGGTTTAAAAAGACCACAGCGCATCATATAAGAGAAGATTATGTAACCATTTTAAATGTTCTTAAAAAAAACAGAGAGCCTCTAGTGCCATGGAAAATGTTTTCTATTTATTGAGCAAAAATGAGTAATTTAGTAGTTAGCATCGTGTGATCTCAATGTTGTCTATAAAACGTGTCTGGAGGTTAGTCACACACACAGACACACACAAAGGGGTTTTTAAAAGTTTGTGGTAAATGGAGTCCTGGTATGGCACTGGGGGTTAAGGGGCTAGACTGCAAAGTTGGTCTGAACCACAAAGTCGACTGTTCAAGCTTTATTGCCGCTCCTTGGAAATTCTATACAGGGTTGCTATGGGTGGGAACCGACTCAACAGAAGTTAACAACAACAACATATATATATATAAGTGTTGTTGTTAAGTGCTGTCGAGTTGACTCTGACCCATAGCAATCCTGTATAGGGTTTCCAAGGGGCAGCTGGTGAGCTTGAACCACCAACCTTGCAGTTCAAATAGCTTTGCAGTCTGGCGCGTTAACCCACAGCACCACACCAGGACTCATATTCTATATATATATATAGATAGATAGATAGATAGATAGATAGATAGATAGAGAGAGAGAGAGAGAGAGAGAGAGAGAGACTGACTTCTGGTGTGGCACTGTAGGATCAGCATTAGACCACAAAGTTGGCAGTTTAAGCCCACCAGCTGCTTCTCAGAAACCCTATGACAGCACTTAATAACCACCAAAAATAAATAAATAAACACACAAAATCGGGTTGCTATCCTCAGGGTCAGCAGTTCGAAACTACCACCTGTTCCATGGGAGAAAGAGGAGGCTTTCTGCTCCCGTAAAGATTTACAGCCTCGGAAACCCTGTACAGAGTCGCTATGAGTCAGAACCGACTCCACGGCACATAACAACACCACCACCACTGTTGGACCCTGTAGGAAAAACACTGGATTACTAACTGCAGGGTCAGTGGTCTGAGCCCAGCAAAGTGAATAAGGAAGACTGTAGAAGAATTGATGCCTTTGAGTTGTGGTGTTGGAGGAGAATACTGAAAGTACCATGGGCTGCCAAAAGAACCAATAGATCCGTTTTGGAAGAAGTACAGCCAGAGTGCTCCTTGGAGGCCAAGATGGCTAAACTTTATCTCTAATACTTTGGACATACTGTCAGGAGGGAACAGTCGCTGGAGAAGGATATCATGCTTGGTAAGATGGAGGGTCAGAGAAAAAGAGGAAGGCCCCCAACGAGAAGGATTGGCCAAGTGGCAGCATCAATGGGCTCAAGCGTGGCAACGGTAGTGAGGTTGGCCCAGGATTGGTCAGTATTTCGTTCTGCTGTGCACAGGGTCACTATTAGTCGGTACTGACTCGATGGCACCTGACAACACCAACAATATATACAGACACACACACACATATTCAACATATAGACTCGATAAAAATACAGTAAATGTTAATGGAAGAATCACAGATGATTGTTTTCTTTTTTATACACATTCTAAATTTTATTCAGAGAACATTACTTTTGTAATCTGTAAAAATAACCCAAATTATCATACCATCCCCAAACAAGAGGAGTTCTAGACTACCTCAGACAATGACTGTCATGTAGGACCATAGGATGCTCATGACCCCAACTTCATCCTTACACTGGCTTAATCTAGAAAGTGAAGATGGGCCACAAAGCCCTAATTCACCTCAGCCCTAGACCTACCTGACAATACCCCTGGGTCCACCTCAGGGGCCCACATTCCAGCTTCTATCCAGGCCTGTACTCACCTGTTCTGCAATAAGGGTAGGCATTCCACGCCTTTTCATGTATATTCAGGGCTCCCTCTGGGGCCAGCATTCGAACAAACGTGGGCACCTTGCTATAGTAAGAAAAAGGAGTTATAGAGGGAACTGGAGGAGAGAGAGGAAGAAAACAATGGGCTTTTCTTTCACCTTCTTTTAGGTGACAGTTCAGCTTCTTCAGGGGAGCTGATGAGCAAGTTTCACTGATAAGCAGGTTATTCTGGAAAGTTTGAAGTTACCTGTTAAACCCTGACATCCCAGCTCTCAATGTTGGCTACCAGTATTTACCCACCACTTGCCCCACCACCTACCAAGAACAGGACTGCAGGTCAGAGCCCCAGGCATCTTGCTCTGGCTTATCAGTCATTACACATTCTTCTAGAGCTCACTGGCTCTCTGGGCAAGGACAAGACACAAAGGAGATGCCTCAGAGAGTACACCCAGTCTAGGTTTATGGGTCACAGTGGTTGGCTGACTGAATGATCTGCTTTCCTCTGCTCAGTGAAGCCTTAAGGACCTCAGGGCTAGATGCCTTCCAGGACAAAATCTTTTCTTCATTTCTTCTTATCTCAGGATATAAAATAAAATGTATAGTACGAGCCCAACTGAGTGCATACATTCCTCTTAATTTTTAACTGGTAACTTTTAGAGAATCTTTAGACAATTCTAGTCACCTCATTAACTTTATTGCCTCAAACCTAGGAAGAGTGCTAACCCCCAGTAAGAACTCACTCAGATCAATACACTCATTCAAGTACCTGTGTCAGCCACTGGAGATACATACAGAGCCAGCACAGACGTTGCTCAGGCCCTTGAGAAGCTTCCAGTGGGAATACTACTAACCAGGTAAATGAAAAAGCTGTAAGTGTGTGCCCTGATGGGGTGACCACAGGTTGAGCAGAGTCTGGGGAGAGGCATGATGGACTGGGGAGGCTCCTTAGGAAACACGTGGAGACTAAGACTTAGCTAGACAAAAGATGGGGGCCGACCAATGTAGCTGGTGCAGGGTATGACAAGAGAATATGTCAGAAGACCTGTTAAGTTATGTCAGAGTATAGACTTTAACCTGGGGACAAAAGGAAGCCACCTATAGTTGCTTTGCTGGAATGTGACTGATCTGCCACTCAGAAAGATCACTTTTAAATTAGTGGAAGGCAGGGAGACCCGTTAGGACCTGCTGCAGTAATGTAGGCAAGAGATAAGGAGAGAAATGGAAACACTGGCAATATTAAGGAGATGGAACCACCAGACCTTAGTTTGACCTGAGGTATGCAGAAGAAGGTGGTGGTAAACCCAGGTTTCTGAGCTGAGCAACTAGATGGCTACTACATTAAGGCTTTTGTGTTTATGAGGAAAGGCAGCTGTGGTAGTCACAACACTGTTGGCTTGTTTTCTTCTGCAGTTAGGTGTTTTCATGTTAAGTACAGACTAGTGGTAGCAGCAGCTCAAAGTTCATAGCCTCTCTTCTGAGGAGGAGGAGTGGTGGGTACAAGAGCCCCACCTTCATCATACACACAGATCTCTTCTCTGCCACTTGAGCTGATCAGCTGAAGCTTGAGGAACCAACTGGCCCATTCTGTGTAAAACTTCTACCTCACCATCTCTATCTCTCTCTCTCTTTTTTTTTTTTTTAATGTTTTATTGTAAATTATGTGATAGTTTACATGGGAGAACATTAGTTTTACATTCAACCTATCATATATCGTTTCATTGCCATGGTTACAATCCCCCCCATGCATCATCAACCAACCAAAGGGTATACCCTGCAAGCCTGCCCCACTCCCTCTGTGTCTAAAGTCCCCAACTGCTCCATCTCTCCAAGTCATCAACTCTGTCTCCACCTCAGGCATCACTGCTTCTCTGGGTAGGGTCCTGCTCTCCGCCCTTGATGGTCCCAGGGACCTCCGATCCTAGACTGCAAAATTAATCACTCCCCTCCTTGCTACAAAACGTCTACCTTTACATTTCCAACCTTCACAAGCAGTCCTGATAACAATTATTCCTTTTATCGGCCCCGCCTAGACAGATTGGATACTACTCAGTGGAGATTGTACCTTCCTCCACGCCCTCTGGATCTAGGTTCCCTCTTGAAAGCTTGTAAGCCAGTCACTTCTTGCCTTTGTAGTCCTCCCATTTTGGGTAGCCAATGTCCAAGTTGCCCATCCCTGCCACCATCTCTTTTTAATGTCCTCTTTAAAAACACAGTTTGGGGACAGTATAGCCGAACACAGTTTGGGGACAGTATAGCCGGAGTCTCATGTTAAATCTAATCAACTGTTGATTCTTCATAAAAATTGTCTGGCAGTCAACTCAAAGCCAGGATGGAGCGGAAGGAAGAAAAGGCCTGGAGGAGGAAGAACGCACCCATAAGAATGTGGGATCAAAGGGAAGAGATTTCTCCCCACTTCGTGGTGTTGCCTTCCTTTGGCTCTGGCACTGAAAAAACTCTGCACATCACCAGAGGAGCACTTCACATCAGGGATCTCATTAAATGCAAATGAAATTTGCTTCAGTTCAGTATAGTGACTAGCAGTTAAGATTCAGGTTTATTTATTTGGATAGTTTTTTAAACTAGCTTGGTTCTGCTTCCATGTAGCCTGCTATGTTTACTGCTGCTTTGAAAATCCTTAGGGTCAGCTCATAGCAGATGGAGATATTATTGTTTTCCTTAGAAATTTAGCAAATTTGGGTGGTTTGCTATAGACTCTGGTACACAAATCAGTTCAAGCTTTATTTTTAATACTAAACTTTCGCTCCAAAGGGTTACCAAAACCTTATTCACGACCTCTTTCAGAATTTAAAAATTACTATCTGACCTAGAAATTCTACTGTTTGAAACGCTACAGATTTACAGAGACAAGTTCATCAAGATTTATACAAGTGAGGATTTTTACTGGAACACTATTTGTGAACATCTGAAAATGAGTATCAAAGTACTATGTGTACTTGAAGTGACTGAGGCAGGACATGTTGATAGTGACAGATAGTATATGATAAGTAACAAAATAGCAACCTAAAGCACATGTATGATTCCATCTATGTAAGACAGAAAAGAAATCAACATGCATTTATACACACCCATCTGTGTATTTATATACACACAGATATATAAAGTGGAAGGATCTGTAAGAAACTAGACGCTATTCCTCTGGAGACTGGCACATGTATAACTTTTATAATAAAAAACAAAACAAAACAGAATTTTAAGGGAAAAAAGTACCACCTACACCCACTCTCACAGGTGAAACAACTTGAGCAACCAGATAATAACCTGGAAACAACCCCAATTATCCATTATCTCCACTTCAAAACCAGGCCAGCTTTCGATGGTGCTGCATACTCACATACCTCTGTAAGTGGTAGATCTTGTGTGTGTACTGCCCTTTCTCGCCATCCTTCTCATAGGGCTCATTCACCAGAACCTCCACGCCTTCGCCACCACCCGTTTCATTTTTACTGGCTTCGGCCACAGAATACAGCTGCCCCACTTGATACTACAGGAATGGAGGAACGGAGTTAGTTTCAACACAGCGCCTTCTCAACAGCTGCACCCAATTCCGTTGTTGATAACTGTCTAATAGATCACTCGGGATCCCCCTCATCCAGAAGCTCATTCTGGAGTTTCACACGAGGCTTTACCCAAATCTACCCACAACTTGAGAAGGCGGCTCCACGCCTTCTCTGTCTTCCCATTTTTTCCTCATACACTAAGGGTTTATGAGAACAAAAAGGCAAGTAGGTATGCTTATTAATCTCACACCATCATCTAGTCCAAGGGAACATTTACTCTGTATTAAGATCCCAAAATAGGACCTGGGTTGGTCCCTAGAAGTCTCTTTATTTCATTCATTTAAACTGGCAGTGGTGAATGTCTGGCCCAATGTTTGTATTGTTGTTGTTAAGTGCCCGACTCATAGCGACCCTGTATAGGGTTTCTGAGGCTATAGATCTTTACAGGAGCAGAAAGCTTCATCTTTCTCCCACGGAGCAAACTTTGGTACTTTCAAACTGCTGACCTTGCGGTTCAGAGCCTGATTCGTAACCACTATGCTACCAGAGCTCCTTAAGGCCCTCAAAATCATTTGGTCTGGCCCTGCCAAGGCAACTGCAGTTCCAGTCATCACACTGGGGGTGGTTATGTGCCGTGGAGTTGATTCCGACTCATAGCGACCCTGTACAGCTTTCCCAGGCTGTAAATCTTTACAGAAGCAGAAAACCTCTCAAGTTTCAAACTGCTGACCTTGAGGTTAGCAGCTCGACTCAAAACTACTACGCTACCAGAGCTCCTTAGTCATCACCTTGTTGTTGTTGTTAAGTGCTGTTGAGTTGGTTCCAACCCATAACAACCCTATATAGAGTTTATGAGGAGTGGCTGGTGAGCTTGAACAGCCGACCTGTGGTTCAAAACAACTCTGCAGTCCAGTGCATTAAGCCACAGCGCCACACCAAGACTCCCAAGTTAATTAAATGTTTGACCAAATATAGCAGGCTAATTTTTTTTTAATGTTTTATTGTGAATTATATGATAGTTTACATGAGAGAACTTTAATTTTACATTTATTCCAATGTATATCATCTCATTGCCATGGTTCTAATTCCCTCCATGCATCATCAACCACCCAAAGGGTATATCCTAGAAACCTACCTCCTACACTCACCCCCCCCCCCCCGCCCCACAGTGGCCGAAGCCCACAGTCCCTTTCCCTCTCTGGATCCAAAGTCTCCAGCCGCTTCATCATTCCATGTCATCGTCTCTGTCTCTATCTCAGGCATCTCTGTTTCTCTGGGTAGGGTCCCACTCTCGGCTTCCATTGATGGTCCCAGAGACCTCCGCTCCTAGCCTGTAGAATTAATCCCTCCCTTCCTTGTTACAAAATGTCTACCTTTGCATTGCCAACCCTCATAATCCATCCTGATAAGTATTATTCACTACAGTATCATGAGTTACCCGTCTGTATTTCCTTTTATCAGCTCCGCCCAGGCAGATTGGATAGTACCCACTGGAGATTCTGCCTTCCTCCATGCTCCCTAGCACTAGGTTCCCTCTTGAAAGCTTGTAAGCCAGTCACTTCTTGCCTTTGTAGTCCCCCGCTCCCATTTGAGTATCCAATATCCAAGTTGCCCATCTCTGTCTACTCTGTGTGTGGAGGGGGTGGGAATGTTTCTTGCTGTAAGGATTTGTTCCTTCTTTTGAGTTGCTGCTCCATAGGTATAGGTCAAGTTCATCAGATTGTTACCGCTCCCTCTTTTTTTTTTTTTTTCCCCTCTTCTTTCTTCTCCTGGTTGAGCTCCGATCATCCAGTCATCCGGTCCAGGTCACGTGGGTATCATCTGCAAGTGTGGGTGCTCCTGTAGCAGGCTAATTTTTCAGTTAATAATTTTGTATGGTCCACAAATGATGTTATAAATTTTGACAGAAAAAAGGTTCCCCACCCCTGATTTAAAAGGATCCCTGGCCCTAAGAAACATCAAGGCAAGTGGCCAGGTCCTCTCAACACAAACCCTCTTCCAAGACTAAAACTCAACGGAAATGCACGCTCTGACTGGTGACCACACGTATCACCGATGAGGGGAAGTGGGGTAAAAGCTGCAATGGAGAGGCAAGCTAAGCCCTACAATGTTCAGTGGACTTCTGTGCACCCAGTTGGGGACCTGGATGGCAAGCAGTGTGAGGAGACCTGGGGACGTGGCCATGGAGGACTCGAGAGGAGAGTGGAGCTACCGACTGACGGGAAGAGAGGGCATGTGCACAGGAGCTCCCACACTTGCAGATGATACCCACGTGACCTGGACCGGATGAATGGATGATCGGAGCTCAACCAGGAGACGATAGGGAAAAAAAAAAGTGAGCTGATACAATCTGATGAACTTGACCTATACCTATGGAGCAGCAACTCAAAAGAAGGAATAAATCCTTACAGCAAGAATTATTCCCACCCCCTCCACACACAGAGTGGACGGAGATGGGCAACTTGGATATTGGATACTCAAATGGGGAGGGGGGGACTACAAAGGCAAGAAGTGACTGGCTTACAAGCTTGCAAGAGGGAACCTAGTGCTAGGGAGCATGGAGGAAGGCAGAATCTCCAGTGGGTACTACTCAATCTGTCTGGGCGGAGCAGATGAAAGGAAGTGCAGACGGGTAACTTGTGATACTGTAGTGAATAATACTTATCAGGATGGATTATGAGGGTTGGCAATGCAAAGGTAGATGTTTTGTAACAAGGAAGGGAGGGATTAATTCTACAGGCTAGGAGCAGAGGTCTCTGGGACCATCAACGGAGAAGAGCTGAGAGTGGGACCCTGCCTAGAGAAAGAGAGATGCCTGAGATGCCTGAGATGGAGACAGAGATGATGACATGGAGTGATGAAGCGGCTGGGGACTTTGGATCCAGAGAGGGAAAGGGACTGTGGGCCGAAAACATGGGGGGGTGGGGGTGGAGAGTGCAGGGGGAGGGCTTCTAGGATATACCCTTTGGTTGGTTGATGATGCATGGAGGGGATGAGAACCATGGCAATGAAATGATATACGATGGAATGAAAGTAAAACTAAAGTTCTCTCATGAGAACTACCATATAATCCACAATAAAACATTAAAAAAAAAAAGGATCCCTGGAAGCATAGTGGATTACAAGCTGGGCTGCTAACCGCAAAGTCAGCAGTTCAAATCTACCAGCTGCTCCATGGGAGAATGATGAGGTTTTCTGCTCCTGTAAAGATTTAAAGCCTCAGAAACCCTATACAGGATCACCATGAGTTGGAATCAATTCCACGGTACACCACCACTACCACCCCTGATTTAAGCAGGTCATAAGAAGGAGCTCTGGTAGTGTAGTGGTTACGAATCAGGCTGCGAACCTCAAGGTCAGCAGTTCGAAACTACCAGCTGTTCCACGGGAGAAAGCTGAGGCGTTCTGCTCCTGTAAAGACTTACAGCCTCGGAAACCCTGTACAGGGTCGCTATGAGTCGGAACCAACTCCACAGCACATAACAACAAGACTGACTTCTGGTGAAAGGAAGTTGCCCAGTGCTGAGGAAAATCCACATCTGCTGTAAAACTGCCTCATGTACTTCAGATGCCTACTCCAAGTCTGTGCTGGCTGGGTATACCCTCTATGCTGGACCTACTAGATGGCAAAAGCCTGGTTTTCCTTTATTTGGGTCACATGCCACCCTATCAAGTCACCAATCAAGATCACTGGCCTCCTCTTACCCCCTCAGGACAGCTGTGTTGGGGCCAGTGGTCTGGGCAGTGCCCAAGCCTGGCCCTTCTATTCTCTCCTGTATGAGAGAAGCTGTCCAAAGGGAAAATCAAGGTGGGAAACAAACAAACAAAAAAGGAACAACAGTTATATGCACAAGTTATGTCTACAGGAGGGATGCATCTTCAGTATCACTGCCAGTGCCAGCCAAGCACAGTAGCTTAAGGAGTCTGAGAAAAGAAAACGTGACTTGATAACTCAAGTTATCGGGAGTGGGGAGGGGAAGAAAGCAGTTTTCCCCACCCTGGCTCCCCAAACTTCAGGCACTTCCAGGGTGAAGGGCAAGGGTTTTTATCTCTTTGGAGATTTGAAAAGAGATTGCGTCTCTGGACAGCTGCCATTTTAAACCACAGCCTACGGCAGCAAGAACCAGAGGCGGCATTTAGGGCTGCTTCACCTGGAACTTGGCAGCTTGCTTTACCAGGCAGCATCCTAGGCCAATTCACTGCTCACCATGAAGCTGAAAATCCAGCACAAATGCCAAGGAAAGGTCCAGGCAGGTGATCAAGGCTCAGCTAATCCTATAAAGAGGAACATGTAGGTGAGAGCCAGTCACCTTGACCTTGCTGGTCCTGAGCACCATCAGTGCTGCCTCGATGCCTCCATGGCACCCCAAGGTGTCCCTGTTCCAAGTCCACTCCCTGGACACAAAACCCCTATAAACTGGACTAGGGCTTGGCAGAGCTATAGTTCCTAAGAAGCAGAAACTCCGTTTCAGGGAAGACTCAAAAGAACATGTAGCCACTGACTCAGCAGACCGTGCTGATGCTTGGGGAGCAGATCTCAAGCTAATCCCCTTTATTTGGTTCCTCTTCGGGGCAGGCTCTAAGAGGATCAGTTTGTCACACTGGCTTCTTCCCCTTTTAATCTCTCTTGATATTCTGATCCTTTAATCCCAAAAAGTGAAGGCCGTTTTGTCAATCCCAGGGGGTAGGTAAAACTGGCCTCTGCAAGCTATAATACAAGTAAGGGTTACTTGTCATGTCTGAAGGTTGGTTCCCTTTGGCATACTTGCTCCAAACCAAGGAAAGTCAGATTCAGATGCAGTAGGGATAGAAGTCAGACCATTGAATCAAAGAGCCCAGAGAAGACTGGGACCCATGGTTCTCAGGCCTAGGACAATTTTCCCTGCATTACAGATTTGCCTCCTTATCCCAAAGAACTAAGAAATTCAGCTAAGAGAAACAGAGACTACTGCTTTGGTAATTTGGGAGTAGGAGCCCACAACAATGTAGTGGCTGAGACTGAAATACTAATATGAAACTAGGCATTAAAAAACAGTAAACTCATGGGTCCCACTCACATAGCCAAAGGGGATAGGGCCTCATATCTTGAAAGTTAAACAGCGCTGACCAGTATTGTTAGGTATCAGGGAGTGAGTCAGTTCTAACTCATAGCATCTTATGTACAACACTGCCCAATCCTCTTTTTCCATTTTCTATTTTACCAAGCATGATGTCATTCTCCAGAGACTCCGCAGCACTTAACAACAAAGGGTACCATGTTATGGATGGAACGACAAAAAATGTGTCAACTTGGCTAGGCCATTAGTTATTTAATTATCTTCCATTATATAAAGTGATGTAATTATCCTTTGAGTTGTAAATCCTAACCCCTATGTTAATGAGGCAAGATTAGAGGCAGTTATGTTAATGAGGTAAAATATAACCTACAGAATTCGGTTATAACTAAGAGATTAAACAGGTGGCAGAGATCAGATAAACCACCAAGAAAGAAATGAGGAGAGAACCTCCTACACCCAGGGGAACATTACCCAGGAGTAGAAGATAAGAGATTTCTGCTTTAGATAACCAAGACAGTTGTTGTTACATACAGTCCAGTGCTTGTGGTTCAAACTGATCTTTAGGACCAGGACTCCAACCAAGACAGTAGAGGGTGGGTAATGACAAGGCAGACCACTTTGACACACCCATATCAAACACCCAGGGGTTTTTTACTCTGCCTAGAAACTTTGTACAGTATTAAGGTCAAAGGCTCTGGCCAGTCAATAGCTGATTCCACCCCTATAATATTGATCCAAGTCATGAGGATGGTTATAAAGACGATCTTGTCTTTTCTCTCCTCACCCCCAAACTAAAAAAAAGTGAGGCTTACTTCAAATCAGGGCTTCCCATTTGGGAAATGAATTCAAAAGTCACATAACATGAGGCTGTGTTCATGTGAACCATTAGTCAAGATGGGTTTACTGACAATGACTGAGTAGTTCAATCATTACTTCTTCCTTTGTTGCCCTCACCATTCAACTTTCTGATCTGGGACTAGGATTCAAGTCTGTTTCAACACTACCCCAGACATAAGCTGCTTTCTTCTTCAGGGGTTCCTTCTTGAGCCCAGCTAACCACTATGAGGCAGTGAGATGAATCTAACCAGAACTTACTTCCCAAGCTTCCTCTTAGACTTCAGGCTTTCATCAACCCACCTTACCACTTCCTCAATACTGTAGGAAAAAACCATCACAAACTAAAAAACAGCCAATTCTGGATGCCCTCAAGGCAGAAGTTCCCCCTTCCCTCCCTTCCAGGAATAAGTCTTACAGCATAATCGCCAAGAGGTGCCCCAAGGAGAAGATTAGGTCCTTTGGTCTGCAGCACTTCTCAGACATTCCCACCCCTCATGTCATCAAGAAATTCTCTGTATGAAGATACAGACATGCATCCATGTCACCCCTAGGAGCCACACTGTGCCATCCCCGAACTGGAGGGCACCATTCCTAACTAGGGCGCAAGACCTTCCTGCATAGCAGAGAGGAAGTCAGCAGACCCCTAAGAGCTGGATTTCAGAGCAAGGTATATATTGGATTCTCCTGCTGGGAAAATCATTTTTGGTAAAGACAGCAAGGCTCCCAAGGGAGGTGTAACAAGGCACCCCCAAGCCAATATCCGTCAACCCAGAAAGCTACTTCCTGATTCCTACCTTATACCCAGTCTGTCCTTTCTTTTCCAGGTTCCTCACTCTTATTTATTTATCCTCCCTTCCCAGAACTGCCAGATCATGTTCAAGCCCCTTCCCAGGTCTTCACAGCTCTGAGGAGATATATAGCTCGGCACTTAAGACAAAAGAATTGTGCATTTGTCCACCCTTCTTGGAAGCCTAGCAGCAGTGTGGCTATTTGTCTGCGGGCTCTGTTGGCCCGACTACATTTTTAAAAATCCATTTCATATTTGGAACAGAGTAGACATGATCACAGGAGCTTCACGCTGACACCAGAAGAAAAGGAGATGAAGCCCTGTATCTGAGGGCACTGTATGGGTGACAAACAGCACCCAGACTCAAGTATAACTAGATGCCTTCTGTCGGGGTCAGCAGATTCAGAAGGAAGCAAAGAGAAAACCTGAGGCAGGACAGGGGAGTGGAGAGGTTCAGAGACAGGGTAGGACACAGAGGCTCCGTGACAGGTTTCTGATGTCCAAGAGACCAATTCTGAGTCAGCATGGCCTATGAACCTTCTTGTGGCACATCCTGCCAGATGCCCATATAGTGATGTGAGGCCTAGGTACCATTAAAGGACAGAGGGCAAACCAAGCCTATTTGTTAGTTCCTGCACTCTGTAGAAGGAGGGGTCTATATCTTGGTCTTCCTAGCAGTCACCTCCAGTGACTAACTAGGGAGGGCCTTGCTGACTTTCTGGCCTGCTGGTTTCTTGCACAACTAGAGAGCTCCAAGTACACTTCCCAGATGAGTCACGGAGGTGCCAAGGGTCATTACCATCAATAGCATGCCCCAAACAGGTACTACCCCAGCAAGCAGAGATAGTTTTGTCTCTACTCAGAGTCATCCATCATGCCAGCAGCTTTGGGCAGGTTGCTTGCAATTGCCCAGGTATACACAATAATGATATACACAGGAAAATGGTACCAGGAAAATTCACATGGAGCACTGCTTGTTCTACTTTAAAACAAACAGGAACATTATAGGGAGGTCCTGCAAAAGTCTAGGCCAGTCAGAGCACAACTTAGCCAAGGGTCATAAGCAATCATATACATCATGAATAAGAAAAGAAAAAGGACTTACCTCATCTACAGATACAGGCAGGATGACTCGACTACAAGAGAGGGAAAACAGTATTAACTTCAGGTTCTGAAGTCTGTCCCAGGCTCCTAAAGCATCATCTTAGAAAATATCACACATTTTGTTGCACATACATACTCACTATCAAAAACCCAGTGGCTAGGACCCTCTGTGCAGTTCTGGTATTCTATTTAGAACTTGTGATTCAGTACAAACCTGCCCCTGACACACACACACAAGCTTCTTCCCAAGTCTCTGACTCACGTTTGGATCGGCCTTTTTAGTTCCCTTCCCCCACTCATATTCTCCACAACAAGACTTACCAGTGGGTTCAGCAAAAACATAAGAGAACAGACCCTGCAAATTCTGAAACAAAGGTTAAGGATTCAGACGCACAGAATCAGAGTCCTGGGATTTACAACTCTGTGGACCTAACTTCCCAATAACAGCTTTCAAGGTGAAAGCTAGAAAGGGGCCAAAGGTCTTGCTTAATCACCTAAAGAGCATGTACCAACCATCTGTGCTCTGGGGCAAAATATGACAGTACAAGCTACTACTATGAAGCCACCAAAAGAAGACACACCCAACTTGCACCTTAACATCCTGAAACTGTCCAAAGATAGCCTAACTGATCACTTTTCTCTCATTCTTCTCCATTTCAAAGACTACGCATTGAGGGAGGTACCAGCAATAACCTGACAGAAAGTCAGGCCAGCAGTCCCCACAGTGGCCAGAACTCCACAGGGGTGTGAGGGCTAGTGGCACTCATCCAGGTGGCTTGTTAACCGTTTGACACACAGACCAACAGCTGACCCTCAGATCAAAGCTGTGAGGGCAGAGAACTGAGACAAAAACCTTGGTGTACTCTCATACAGGTTAAGCCAGTTCCTAGACCCTGGCTGGAACCCACTGGGCCCTTCTCTATCCTCCATGCTTGGTGAAGCATGAGCTGCTAGCCTTCCTTCCTACCCAGTGGGTTGATCAATCTGGCTGCTTGCTCCAGGCAAGTCAACTCACAATTTTCTAGTTCCTCTAAGATGCCGCAAGAAGCCAGAAGTATACAGAAGACTCTGAGAAAAACATTTCACTAAAGGCAAGGGACCAAGCAGAAAAATAGCAAGAAAAACAAAATGGGCTCCAAATCTTTACTGCCTCTTGTAGAATGATTCATAAAATGTAAATCCTCCAGTTTATAGGATACTGCCCCTGACTTCCTCCTCTCATTAGACAAAGCTGATCTTGCAGAAAAATGCGCCCAACTTGGACGCCAGAACTTCTACATCCTAAGAAGAAACTTCCTAGAAAACAATAAAGCTTTTATCTTCAAGAACAGCATAAAAAAACACATCCAAGAATGTACAAAAATCAAAGCAATGAGAATCCAGTTAGAGGAAGGGTCAGAAACTTTAATACGAACAATTAACCTTCAGATACTTGGTGGGCACCAAGTTGTCCCCCCCCCCGCCCCCACACACACACACACAAAAGAGACTAGCACTGGCCAATTTCTACAGGATGTTTTGAGGTTGTTACTTGACATCTGCCAAGCCAGACACGTCTCCTATGTTCCTCAGGAGCCAAACCACCTCAGCAGCAAGAGGGTGTGATTGCAAAGGACTGGGCCACAGATACAATGCAAGGCTGGGAGTCGGGCGGTGCTCACTTCAGTGTGACCTTCACTCCACCCTTCCCAGAGCTGCAGCAGCAGCACTGCAGCCACAGCTGAATGCTTCAGATGTCGTCCCCAGCAAGGATGCACACACTCGCCTAGCATACACAGACAGGGCACAAGTCAGGAAGGAAACACAGATGCCAGGCAAGTTCTGTATCCCAGCCCCTTTGGGCCTTACCTGTCGGGCTTCAAGAGAACAAGAGTGGGAAGAAGTACCTCTCTTCAAAACTCACTCAGATCCCTTTGGAAGGGCCCTTCTTTTCCCTGCCTGATCTTTTTAATAAAAACTACAGCTCTCTACAGACTCAACAATTCATCTGGAGAAAGTGAAAAGGCTGGACATTCAAGATGAAAACCCCAAGTGCACCAGGCTTCCTCCTCTTGGAATCCCAAGGCTGCTCCTCCTCACCACCACGTAAAGCTCTAAGCTCTGGTTGGAGCTGAGTACCAAGAAGCAGGGGTGGAAGAGACTCAAGATACTGCTCTTCAGATAACATGCTCATCATCCTTCTTTCACCCAAAGTTCCACACTAAATGTCCTATCCACCTGCAAGGAGCAAGCCCGATGGGGGCGGGCCAAAGTGCCTTCACTGATTCGATGCACACCTGCTGGCCCTAAACTGAGTCCACCAGTTGCTCTCTAGGCTTTAGTACCAATGTTGCCACTTGTCCTCCCTCCAGGGCACAGTTTCACTGGAAACTACACACACCCATCCTATTTGAAAAGAGAAAAAACCTGGTGATGCTTACTCTCTGATAGCATAGTGATTAAGAGTCAGGCTACTAATCTCAAGGTCAGCAGTTTGAATCTACCAGCCATTCTGTGGGAGAAAGTTGAGGCTTTCTGCTCTCGTAAAGAATTACAGCCTCGGAAATCCTATACAGCTTAGCTATGGGTTGGAGCTAACTACATAGCACATAACCAGCCATGAGCTTCAGAGATGGGTCATCCCATCTGTATGACAGATTAAGTAATCCAAACTCCAAACATCCCATGTGTCATGCATATCCTATGCAGAAGTTACCAAATTCCCAACCCCAATAGTAGTTACAAATTGGGCTGCAAACCGCAAGGTCAGCTGTTCGAAACTACCAGCTGTTTCCAGGATAAAGAGAAGGTTTTCTGCTCCCGTAAAGATTTATATCCTTAGAAACCCTGCACAGGCTCACTATGAGTCGGAACCGACTCCACGGCACATAGCCACAACAACAGTGCCTACTCAGGAATCCTGGTGTAGCGCAATAAAAAAAGTGGTACTGGTAATGTGCGCTGGAGGCGGTTCCAACTCATAAGGCCCAGGTATAGGGTTTCCGAAGCTGTAAATCATTATGGGAGCAGAAAGCCTCATCTTTCTCCCATGGAATGGCTGGTAGATTCGAACTGCTGACCTTGAGATTAGCAGCCTGACTTGTACCCACTACTGGACTGCTAACCACAAGGTTGGTGGCTCAAACCTATCAGCTGCTCCTCGGAAACCCTATACAGGTTGTTGTTGTTGTTGTTAAGTGCCGTCGAGTCGGTTCCAACCATAGTAACCCTGTACAGGGTTTCCAAGGGTGTAAATCTACGGGAATAGAAAGCCTCATCTTTCTCCAGTGGAGTGGCTGGTAGTTTTGAACCGCTGACCTTAAGGTTCTCAGCCCGATTCGTAACCACTACGCTACCAGAGCTGGTTGGAAGCCACTTAATAACAACAACAGTGATACTCAAGAACTTGCTCACCCTTCACCATCTTTCCTCAATTCATGGTTTCATGGAAATGTCAATTGCTCAAGGCTATTTCCCCTTCTTTCCTCACCCAAACTGAGAATACCCTCAAGACAGGCTGCCCCTGGCCCACCAGTAGGCATATTCATTCTCAAGCATACTCTCCTCTATCCTGGGCCATCACCATAACTCCCTCATATCACTTCATCCTTCGCCCAATATTACCTAAACTCCTCAAGTGTTCCCATGTATCTCCCCCAAATCTCCTCTTCTGCACCTACCACCTGGGCACCTAGTCAGGGCAGTCACCTCTTCTCTCAGTCAGTACCCTCTGCTCCACAGGCCCTTCCCATCACCCAAACCTGGCCCTGATTCCCCAGCCATAGTCTTCTATTACAATCCTTCCCAAGATGAGGCAGCCACTCCTCAGGCCCCAGGATCCCCCCAGCACTGCTCCCATCATCTCAACTCCATCCCCTGAGCGGTCTCTTGTACTCAAACCGATCCCCACCACTCCAACCCTGCCTGCCCTTGGGTGACTCCTGAGCCCCTCAGACAAATCCTCCCTCTCCCATGCGTCTCCCAGCCCCTCCTGCAGTTCCTGGCTAGCCCCTTCAACATCCCCTAGTTCCCCTTACCCCCGCCCCTGTTGAGCCACCTCACATCTCAATGTCTTCACCCCCTCATTCCCTAGGCTCCTCCTCAGGACCTGTCTAACGCTCACTGTCCCCTTGACCCCACTTCAGGGCTTGACTCGCCCTCGTTGTCCCCTCGGCATCTCATCAGGGCCTGTTCGGCCCTCTCTCTTCCTCTCAGCCCCACCTCGGGCCCTAAGCTGCCCTCCGCTGTCCCCTCGGTCCCTGCTGAGCCGCCCAACAGCGATCTCCATTCCCTTGGACCCTTTCGGGCCACTGCACCCCTCTGGCGCGCCGTCTGTCTCCCGGGTCGTCATCCCTCGTCCCTCCCTTCCTCCTCGCTCCCGCGCAGCGAGCCGGACACTCACTACTCCTTGTACAGCACCATGTCTCTTCGTGGCTCGGCGGCTGCCTGCTGCCCGCCCGGCCTCCTGCCCGCTTCTTGGCGGCCGCTCTCCCCGTGGCCCGGCCCGGCCTAGCTGCCTGTGTGCCTTCGTCGTGGTCTGCTCCGTCCCCACCGCTCTCTTTGAGGACGCCGCGCCGGCTCCTGCCACCACGGCCTCGCCGCCTCCCGCGCCTCAGCCGACGCCGCCTGGAGCTCCGGTTCCGCAGCGCCGCGCGGGGGCGGGGCGTCTCTGCGGCAACCAGAGCGTCACACGCAGCGGTGCGCGTTGACCTAAGTGCGGAGGCGGAGCCTTCTAGGGCCAGCCCCCTCCCTTCCTTAAACGGGCCGCAGCATTGGCCTCAGCCTACGAGTTGGGTTCCGGGTGTGTGCAAGACGCTAACCGAAGGGAAGGAGAGGCAGGCACATTGAAGCATCCAGCAGGGTCCTAAGGTGTGACTGTTCTGCAGCCGGAACTGATGCCCGTCTATACTTGAACATTGTTGTTGTTGTTAAGTGCCATCGATTAACATAGCGATCCTGTAGAATAATTTTGAGAACAGAAATCCTCATCGGTCTCTCGTGGAGCGGCTGGAGGGCTCGAACCGCGGACTTCGTGGTTCGCAGTACAGTGCTTATCGTATGGAGCCACCGCGCTCCCCCAAATAATATTAAGAATAGCCACATCTATGCAGGACTCGCTATGTGCACATGATCTTCAAAGTGTTTTATTCCTCACAACAACCCTGCCAGAAAGGTACTATTACTGCCTCCATGTTGCAGGGGAGGAACGGTATGCAGAGATTAAGAGACTTAATTAACCATCTGTGCTCTGGGGCAGAATATGACAGTCCAAGTACTATGAAACCACCAAAAACCCAACTTGCATCTTAACATCCAGAAACTGTCCAAAGATAGCCTAACTGATCACTTTTCTCTCATTCTTCTCCATTTCAAAGACTACACATTGAGGGAGGTACCAGCAATAACCTGACAGAAAGTCAGGCCAGCAGTCCCCACAGTGGCCAGAACTCCACAGGGGTGTGAGGGCTAGTGGCACTCATCCAGGTGGCTTGTTAACCGTTTGACACACAGACCAACAGCTGACCCTCAGATCAAAGCTGTGAGGGCAGAGAACTGAGACAAAAACCTTGGTGTACTCTCATACAGGTTAAGCCAGTTCCTAGACCCTGGCTGGAACCCACTGGGCCCTTCTCTATCCTCCATGCTTGGTGAAGCATGAGCTGCTAGCTTTCCTTCCTACCCAGTGGGTTGATCAATCTGGCTGCTTGCTCCAGGCAAGTCAACTCACAATTTTCTAGTTCCTCTAAGATGCCCCAAGAAGCCAGAAGCATACAGAAGACTCTGAGAAAAACATTTCACTAAAGGCAAGGGACCAAGCAGAAAAATAGCAAGAAAAACAAAATGGGCTCCAAATCTTTACTGCCTTTTGTAGAATGATTCATAAAATGTAAATCCTCCAGTTTATAGGATACTGCCCAAAGTCTAAAGCTACTATGCGATGATGCGAGATTTTAACTCAGCACTCTCAGTGTCATTCCCACAGAGTTCCTGCAAACATTTGCTTGTGCTTTTGTTGAGAGGATGAACAAGGCAGATGAAGTCCAACCCTCACTGAACTCAGAGCCAAGTACAAGTTGTTGTTAAGTACTGTCAAGTCAGTTCTGACTCATAGCGACCCTGTATAGGGTTTCTGAGGAGCTGCTGGTGGGTTTGAACTGCTGATCTTGGGGTTCACAGTTCAGTGCTTACCCTACAGTACCATACCAGGAGACCAGTAGAAATAGTGGGGAGAAAGAAAATCAGACAATTAGAATGAAAAGGGCTGTAATAGATGAAACAGCACCTTCCTGTGATTACACCTGTTGTTGTTAAGTGCTGTTGAGTCGGTTCGACCCATAACGACCCTCTATAGGGTTTCTAAGGAGCAGCTGGTGATCTTGAACCGCCGACTTTGCAGTCCAGCGCATTAACCCACAGAGCCACTTAAATGTGTGTGTGTGTGAGATGAGTATATAGTTAGGGAAGGCTTTCTGGAGGAAGATATTCTATGCTGAGATCTGAAGGGGTTTGGAGAGAGAAAAATACTAAGCAGAGTGAACCACCTGTAGGCTGGAGGCAGGGAGAACATGGTGCATTTGGGGACCTGGAAGAAGTAACTAGACAAGTTTGGGGTTGAGGGACTGCAAGATGCAAAGTGGGTCATAATAAAATGTTTGAAGATCATCCTAAGGGCCATGAGGAGACATCAGTGTTACTCAGTGATGTGAGCAGTTTAGGTATTAGAAGACTCAGTCTGGGATAGGTCTTTTGTGATCAATAATGAATCATTGTTATCAGGACTGATTGTGAGGGTTGGCAATGTAAAGGTAGACGTTTTGTAGCAAAAGGAGGGGGGTGATTAACTTTGCAGTGTAGGAGCGGAGGTCCCTGGGACCATCAAGAGAGAAGAGCAGAGTGCGAGACCCTACCCAGAGAAGCAGTGATGCCTGAGATGGAGGCAGAGATAATGACATGGAGAGATGGAGCAGCTGGGGACTTTAGACACAAGAGAGGGAAAGGAGCCGTGTGCTGATGATGGAGGTGGAGGGGGAGGCGGAGTGGGGGTGCAGGCTTGTAGGATATACCCTTTGGTTGGCTGATGATGCATGGAGGGGATTGTAACCATGGCAATGAAATGATATAAGATAGGATGAATGTAAAACTAATGTTCTCCCATGTAAACTATCACATAATTCACAATGAAACATTAAAAAAAAAAACACAAAAAACTCAGTCTGACTGCTGGTTGGAGAGGGAATGGCAGGGGCTAGAACAGAAGCTGGAGACTAGTTGGAGACTAGCTGCAGAAGTTCAGACCGATGGAGCCTGCGTTGGTGGGAGGGAAGAAAATGAAGGGATGTATTAACCCAGGAGGTAAACTCAGCAAGACATTGTTTTGTTGTTTTTTTAAAATTTTATTGTGAGTTAAGTGAAGGTTTACAGAGCAGACCATCAGTTTTACATTCAACAAATCTTATACTTCATTTCATTACATTGATTGCAATCCCCCCATTGTGGTGGTGGCCGTGGTGATGTGCCATGGAGCCGGCTTCTGACTCATAGCAACCCTGTATAGGGTTTCTGAGGCTGTAAATCTTTACGGGAGCAAAAAGCCTCATGTTTCTCCTGCAGAACAGCTGGTAATTTTGAACTGGTGACCTTGAGGTTTGCAGCCCTATTCGTAACCACTACGCTACCTCTATTCACTTTAACCTTGCATTCCTCCCTGCGTCTTCCTCTACCTTCATCTTTCCTCAGCCAACTTCCCTCTTGTTGTATATTGCCTTCCTTGTTACCCAAGTTAACATGTCTCTCCTGTATCCAGTGAATAATTTTATCCTCCCTCTCATCCCTGGTAAACAACATAGAATGTTTCTTTTATCACAAAAACCTTTTCTTTTTACAACAGTAGTCCCACACAATATTTGTCCTTTTGTGATTGATTAATTTCACTCAGTATTAATTAATAAATCTGTGAAACAGATTTATCATTTTTCTTCAAGGTTGCATAGTATTCCATTGACTGTAAGTACAAACATTTGTTTAACCAGTCTTCTGTTGGGCATTTAAGCTGTCTCCATCTGTTTGCTATTGTGATTAGTGCTGCAGTGAACATGGGTGTGCATAGATCTGTTCATGTCGCAGCACGTATTTCTTGAGGATATATATGTGGCACTGTGGGTTAGTAAGTTTTATCTGCAAGGTCAGCAATTCAAGCTCACCAGCCGCTTCTTAAAAACACTATACACGTCACTGTGGGTTAATACACTGGACTGTAAAGTCACTTTGAACCACTAGGAACTGACTAGACAGTACCTAAGTGTGGCGCTGTGGGTTAATGCGTCAGACTGCAAAGCCATTTGAACTGCAAGGTTGGTGGTTCAAACGCACCCTTTATAGGGTCACCATGGGTCGGAACCGATTCGATGGCATTTAACAACAACAACCAAGTAAAGGGATTGCTGGCTCATATTGTATTTCTATTTCCAACTTTTTGAAAACTGCCATGGCACTTTCCACAGCAGCTGTACCATTTTACAGTTCCACCGGCAGCGTAGGGGGGTCTCCACACCTTTGCCAGCATTCGTTGTTTTGTTTTTACTTTGCTATTAGTGCTGGAGTAAGATAATATCTCATTTTTGTTTTGGTTTGCATCTCAGCAAGATGTTTTGCCTGATTTGTGAGAGGGGAGAATGAGGACGGAGGAGTGAAAACCACCCAGTTTTCTGGCCTGGTAGCCTGCGTGAACTGTAAGTAATACCTTCTTGGAGAACTCGGAAAAGGTAGACTTCATGAAGAGAAGATGAGAACTCCACACCCAGGTGGACATGGTGAGTGGACAGTCCAAGCTAGGGACTTGGGAGAGGTGTCCATGATGCCCTGAGTACTACATGGACTGACCACAGATTCACTGAATGCTAGAGTGGGAGTAAGGACAACCGCAGAAATCCAAGCACAACAGTCTCAAGGGAAGGCCAGGAGAGGAGACATTATGACCCAAATCCAAGATCTAATGAGTAACCTGGTCCCTAGCCCCTTGGTCTCCCAGCTTAGTGCTTTCTCTCCTATATAACATCAATGAGTAGTGTCAGTAAATGCTATATGCGGGCTGCCCCCAAGAAGTAATTATGCCCTACCCTCAGGGAGTTTGCAATTGGTAATTCTACATTTAGTTATTCTCTTAATGAATATTGACTGAGTACCTAGCCCTGTCCTATACCTTTTTTCTAGGAACTGAGGATACAGGAGTGACCAAGAAAGATGTGGTCCTAGATCTCTACAGTGAGGATCATTCCCACCCCCATGGTACACTGGGTCAACAGGGATGGGGAACTTAGACATTGGCTACCCAAAATGAGGGGACTACATAGGCAAGAAGTGACTGGCTTACAAGCTTTCAAAAGGGAATCTAGCTCCAGAGGATACAGGGAAAAGTAGAATCTCCACTGAATTGTTTCCAATCTGTCTGGAGGGGGTTGATAAAAGGTGGAAGGGGAAAGGACTCCTGTGGTTCAATAGGGAATGATTGCTATCAGGTCTGACAGTGAGTGTTGGAAAAATCAATGTAAATGTCTGGCAACAAAAGAGGGGAGTGGCTGATTCTGCAGTCTAGGAGCAGAGATTCCCTGGAACCATCAAGGGAGAAAAGCAAAGTGAGAGACCCTGATATCCTGTTGGGGAGGCAATGACACTAGGGAT